CAACAATTCACAGAGCACTTATCTGAAGTTTTCCTGCCACTTTTAGTCCAAGAACCCCTTTTATACCCAATATAGTATGGTTGATTTTGATCATATTTTAATGATCAAAATATAAACTGCTCCAACAGAATAAGACCACCTGTCAAGTAGCATTGTGGAAGTTCTTGTAAATTACAGCATTTTAGCATACCCCAAGCAAGTCTCAGTACAACTTGCAGCTCTCCAAAACCAGTCTCTGGCAAGGGTTCATTTTCCCGTGGCTTTGTGAAGAAAGCAATCGTCTGGGTATCATTTAACGTGTAAAAGCAGGACATGGTAACGCTAACAAGGAGAAAGTAAAAAAAACCCTAATCTTCTCACAGATGAAACATGAAGTGACAATATACCCCAGTAAATAGATACAATTTAAAATCACGTCTCGCACGCTTTAATGCCCTTTGAATGGAACATACGCTCCTTTCGAACTGGAATCATGGCGGAATATCCAGTGAAGTCCACTTCGTAGGGTACTTCCAGTCAAACAGAACAAACGTCTGAAGTGATAAGAGATGCATACAAAAGGTGCAGAGTGGTGGTACACGAGGACTGGAATTGAGATCCACTACTCTAGGCCCAATGCCAAGGCCTGCTAAAAGCATTAATAACTTGAAAGAACATACCAGTCATGGTCATGGGAAAATTGCAAGCTAGGGAGAAGTCGCATAGTGTCCATTTGTTTGTAGGCTCCCACAGTAGCACATCAATCCGAGCCCTCAAGGATGATACGTACATCAGCTGAAAAGTAAAGAATTTAAATAACTGCACTGTCTACACGCACAATTTTTTTTGTTTTAATAAATACCTCAAATGCAACATCAGATGCAAGGAAAGGCACTGCCAAGCTCATATGGGTGTCATTCTCCTTTACACCATACTCTGCTCTCCGGTCTGGAGTCATGTCATGCATACCAATCATAATAGAGTTTTTGCCCATGTTTCCAAATGAAATTACAATGTGGAACTGTTCCTCATCACAGGTTCCACTCACAGTTGGGAGAACTGGATGGGGAAATGATCCATTGACAATAACGTTAAACCCTTGGGTATTGTTGTTGGGTCAAAGGTCTTTGACATCCAAATGAACAGTCAGCACTTACTGACATCTTGAAGGGTTACATCAACAGAGGATGTGTAGGAGAATGGAGTGTATTCAGGCAGGATCATAAAACCATAGATGAGGCGAAGAGTATAAACTCTAACAACCAGATCAACTTGCTGCAATGAAATAAATGCACATCAGAAGCAGCAAAAATAAATAAATACTAACGACATTAGATACTCACAGTTCTAACAAAACTGTCAGTGAAGGGGACTTGAAGTCTAAATGCCTTGGAGCCATTTTCAAAGCGTTGTTCCTGCATGTTAATGCCCCTTGCATTGGCCTCTGCCACAGTAAGGACTCCAGTGGAAAAGGTAATGTTCACCAACTCAACGTCATAAAGGAAAGGACCCAAGAGTACATCAAACACCCTTTGGTCTACATCAGTGACTACAAGGGAATAGAAGTCATCAAGTTGCAAGACATTTAAAAAAAAAAAAAAAAAAGACTGCAACAGATTCCCCAACCCCCA